ACGGCGAGGACCCGTCCATCGCTGCGTGTGGCTTTAATTATATTCAATGTGGCTCAACAAATGATTTTGTCGTAGATAAAGGATGCAAAAGGTTGACTTTCATGCTCCCATAGCATTGCATCTCCGCTGGGGTCTGACAAGGTTGTAATAACGAGCAATCAGCCATAATTATCTCCAGGTGCTGACATTTCTCCCCTTTGAAATGTTCTTCTTTGTTTCTCGTACTCCCAGACTGCACCAGCCTCCCCTGCAGCCACAGCGCCTGCAGAAAATGACAGTATTTGCAATGCACTTTACAGATTTGAGCTTCGTAATCCTGCTTTCTGCCGTATCTGTTATTTAAAGGCTCGTCCACTGAGCAAATACTACAAAGTGTATTAGCACCAATATCGCAGTAGCATTTGGGGAAAAGGAGATGATCATTAAGATTCACTGAGGAGCCTTACGGTCTGAATGTTTTTAATTATCTTTGATGATGTTTGTGGCGGTTGTTAATCAAGTGCAGATGGCAGTAGGAGGTGGTTGGCAGAGACAATATTCATGATCTGGATGAGAGGAGGTGAAGTCAGCATAATAAATGAAATAACCGGATTAGACTTCACACCTGTCGCCGGAGAGGATCTGAAGGAACTCGGGACCCTTTGCTTGAAGTTTCAGCGCAGCGTGAGCACCGTCAAGGGAGGTCATGGACTTCACTCAGCTGGGAAACCTGACTTTTTAAAATTATTTTATGGGTGCATGAACATCTGGGAATGTGGGGATTTAATCAGGGACTTATTACTCACTGGGATGCAGCTGAATTTTTAAAATATCTTCATATTCTTTAGGGCAGAAATAAATAAGAGCTTGAAGATCATTTTGGAAAATACACCTATTTACTTTCTAGTTAAAAGTTATAAGTGAAGATCACACCTATATAACAAATAAGAAGCTGAGTATAAAGACTGGAATCACCGGTTCTGTCTGAGGACAACAGAATCGACCTGCTGTTTCTTGAAAGCAGTAATTTCCTGAAGTGCCTCTGGTCGCATCGTCTTCCAGCCAAAAAACAGTCAAGCACAGAATGCCGCCCTAAAACCAAGACCTTGTTTGTTTTTTTTGTTTTCAAATGAAGACAGTAAATGAGATTTGGAGGTGCTGGTAGGCAGGTTCTGTTCCAGCGGGACCAAACCACCTCATGACTTTACATATTTTCTGCACAGATTTTAACTTTTCAAAGTTCAGTTTATTGAAAAAGCATATTTAAAAGACAACAAAAGTTGGATCAAAAGTGCTGTAGGATTAAAATAGTTAAACAAATCTGTAAAAAAAAAAACAAAAAAAACAACAACAATAAATTATAAGAAAAAAATCAAACATACATCATAATAAGGGATGAAGTCAGGGTGTCTTGAAAATTGAGTTAAAAGGAAGAGTTGGGTCTTTATCAGCGACTTAAGTTTCTGAAGTTTGAGCTGTTCTCACATGAAAAGATCAAATTAAAAAGTCTCTATTTTTGAGCCTGGATCTCAGAGCATCTCAGAGCATCTGGTTGGTCGACCTCAGTGCTCTAACTGGGTTACGATGATGTAATAGTTCTGCTATAAAAAGGATCTGCCAACCCATTTTAAAGCTTAAAAGCAAACAATTAAATCTTAAAGTCAATCCTGGGACAGACAGGAAGTCAGTGGAGGGAGGCTGGTACTGGTGTTATGTGATCACTCTTTCTGGTTTCCTATTAAAGGACGAGCATTCATGTAGCAGCTGCAGATGCTGAAGAAATGACCGATCTGCACCCGCAAACGAAGAATTACAAGAGTTTACCCACATGGGAATAAAGTCTAACGTAGGCCCTCACCTTGGCTAGAAGTTTGGAAAAAAGCTACTTTTCATACATTTTCGTAGACTGATCTGCTGAGCTGATCAGTCTATGAAATGTGAAGAAGATCACTCACAAGATCCATTTTATGAAGTCAAAGGACCAACGGTGCCATCTGGATCATCCAAAAAGTCCTCTTAACCCTGTTCAGGACTTTCATGTTGCCACATGTAGAAGGTCTTTCAGGGTCCATTGGACCCCAAGAAAGAATATGTGCAAAATATTTGTTGGTATTCAGGCTTTTACACTATGTTAAATACATTTTCTGATAAGTTATTTTTGGTTCCAAATGCAAGACAGATGTCCCTCTTTTTATATTAAAAAAAAATAAATCTTAACCCCCCCCCCCAAAAAAAAATAAATAAATAAATACCTGTCACCTAAACCAAATGGCCTGGGACCCAAATGACCCCAAAAGTCCTGAATAGGGTTAAGATATTAAATAATCAAAAAGAAAAACACAAAAAAGGCTGAAGATTAAACCAATGGTTCCCAAAAGGTTTGCCTTCGGTCTCCTACAAACAAATAAAAAAAGGTGCATTAGGAGCTTCTGACGTGTCTTTCAGTGGCTTCACCAAAGTGTTTCATCATCCAAGATTCTCATCTGGTCTAATTTATTTACAGCTTGAGGGCTAAATAAGCAATTTGTTTTTAATATTTCACTTGGAAAAATTCAAATTCAAAATCTTCAAATGGCCTGGGGTCCAAAAGACCCCAAAAGTCCTGAATAGGGTTAATTAAATGTAGCCGTCTTACTTTCACTGAGAAAGTTGAAATCCGTTCACGTTTTGTCATATGTGAAGCAAGAGCTGCTCTGAGTCTTTTCATTTTTTACAAGCAGACAGATTTGCATATCATTTGCAAAACAATGAAACGGTACACTCAGCGCAGTCTCTGCAAGAAACTGAAAAGCTGTATTTCAAAAAATGTTGAACAATACCTTTAACACGAGGAATTCAATGGGAAGAAATGATTCAGCGTCTTGTAAAAGACAATGCCCTTCTTCTCCATATGTAGTGTATAAGCTATAGTAGGAATAAAGAACAGGAATATTGTTCAGTATTTAACATCTGTCTTGGTCTATTGTCCTTAACTGGATTGTAAAACACTCCATTTTCAGTGATACAGCTTTCATAAAACCCATAACCAGACATACTTCTGAATCTAAACTCCTCACAGACCACCAGTAACCCCCGCTAAGGCAAAGGTCAAGTTAATAATTCATCTGCTTTGACTCTGTTGCAGCCAAAATGTCGACTGATACACAAACAATTTGAAACCATTATTCTGTAAGTCCCTGATTAGTCTCTCCATCTGTGAGCTCACAGCTAATCCGCCCAAAAACACAAACTTCCTGCCAAGCAAACAGCACTTAATAATGAAGCGAGCCTTTGCCAGGAGCCCATCAATGATACGGGCTCCGCCGACGGTTTGATTCCTCTTTTTTTTCTTTTTTTTCTTTCCAAAAGCCGAGTTTCATTCACACTCATTAGCTCGGCCAATCATATCTAAACAATGTTCGTTAGACGAAACAGCTGAGCTCAGGTCCATTCAGTTTTTCTGCTCTAATTGAAATGTACTGCCTCGGCCCTTTTGGGAGAGCATCATTAGCAAAACACATCATGCTAATGTATTTTAAAGACGTCCAGCTTAAGGGCTAATTAATATTCCCCAGAAAGGACGGCAAATCTCTCCTGTAAGAGCCACTTCATAACACCAGCTGTCATGATGTTTACTGAGACGTTTCCTATAGGCTCTCGGAGTGAGGCTTGAGGGAAACGCAACCGTTAAACGGCACGCTCGAGAGGCCGTTAACCTCCAGACTGTGACTGTTTGCAGGTGAGAGCTTAAGAACGTTTGGGCACAGCTGGATAGCAGATCAAAGGTAAGATAAATGGTGAAAATCTTTTTCTTTTTTGTCTATATGGTGCATTTTATGGATTTGAAGACATATTGTGAGCAAAAACAAGCCTTTCCTCGACCCTGCAGCGCCTCACAAACATCCATTCAGACATCAGGTAACTTAACAAACTGACAGCTGTGTAGTGTCGAGTAGTTTTACAGGGTTTGAGCAGAGTGAGCTGGTGTGCTCTGGCTGCAGCGAGCGAGGACAGCTGAGTTGAGAGAGGACATGCCTTCAAAAATCGGTGCTGAAGCAACAGTGTAGAGTCACATCCAAACCATTTTAAAGCAGTAAATGATGGTTAAATTGATGAACATAGGGGACCTTTAAAAATGCTAAAACATGGAAACACATGAATATTCAGCCTTATTAAAATGGTTTCAATAAACCTACTTTAAAAAACTTAACTTTCTTACAGATGCATTCCATTGATTCTACAACTAAAACTTCATCTTTAGGACTGTTTATATAAAACGGTTGGTTTTCGTAGCTCCAGAGTCTCAAAGTCAGAAGAAATAACCCTGATGATGCCACGGCGATGTCATGTGTTGAGGTTTGCGAGAAACTAAAAACTGAGGATGTGTGCTGCTTTACATTTTGACCGTCCCTCCTACAATCTGTCTCTTATGAGCTACCTCCTTGCTTGCAGTGCAAAAACCTTCACAAATAGATGCTTGCAGATGTGGTTGAAAAGTCTGCCAACACATGCATGCATCTAGTTGTACAATTTCATTTGAACATGTTGAATTGAAATTCTTTTAACAAATTGCTAAATTGAAGAGGCCTCCCCCCCACACAAAAGCCCTGAACAAGCACAGGTGAGGGCTGCAGGTGTAGCAAAGGAAGGCTGAATTCCTTTTCAGTTTCAGGGCCTTGCTGTTGTGCACACTGGCTGGCTGCCACACTGTCATGGCTTTCTGAATAGAAAGAGAGCCACCATTGAGCACAATAACTCGTGTGCTTTTCATCTGCTGTGAAATAGTCCAACCCCAGTGCATGTTTCTGCCTCTAATGAGCTTAGAAATGTGAATATAACTGAGAATAAAGCAGGGGAAATGTAGGAACAGCCCAGAACCATCCACTGCACATGCAAAATAATCCTGAGCATCACACCAACTCACAAACACAAATGTGCTTTTCTGGATAAATTACCTGTGAATGGAATCAAAGTGGGGTAGAAGAATATGAAAAATAAATCCCATGGCATTGACCACAAATAACAATAATAATAAAAATAACTAACAATGAAACTTCCTTTTATTTTCACAGACGTCAACACACCACCTCACAATAGCATGTAAAGCCAGAGACAGAGAGAGAGGCTCAAATTCCTCACTTTGGTACTAAACACCACATACTATGTACAAAGGGGCTGCTCGCTTAGTAGTAAAAAGACAGCGCGGAATAAATAGGCTCTATTTTACAATCATGTTTAATATAAACAAATACCTGTCGTACAAATTGCACTTGCCGATGGCTGTGAGGTAAAAAAAGAAAAAAAAGAAAAAAGAAAAAGGAACACATAGTGAGCTCTACATGATTACAGTACAGTCACAAATTCTTCACTGTTGTTGCCTCATAGGAAACCCATCTCCCCGTTATCCTCATCCACATTATACAAGAAAATTAGAATTAAGAGAATGAAAGGGAGAAATCACAGAAGGCGCTCTTTAGATGCGTAAAATTCACCGAATCCTGCTCCTCAAGCGTGATTTATGGCCGACGTTTTGTAGCTGTCCACCAAATTCTAGGGTCGATATGAGCTAATTTGGCAAATTGGAGTCCTGGAGAGCTGCGCGTAAAAAAGAAAACATAAAAGCACTGATCCATATGCCGTTTTTCTTTTTTTAAAATATGGCTTTTAAATATATTTCTGGTGATGTCGCTTGATGCTTGAGTTCACTGGTGCAGATCAAAAATGAAATATAATAGTAAAAAAACAAAACAGAACACGAAATAAGGTCCTATGGCTCTTGCGCAAACGTCCGTTTTTGTCACCATCGTGCCATAATCCTGCGCGTCCGAACTTTTCTTTTTTTTTTCTTTTACCTTCACAGCTGTGATTCAGAGTGAGACAGCTTCGCAGTCCCCACCAGACTGCTGTCACTGTTGTCCAAACCGGCGCAATCCGACCACATCCCCAACGTGCCGGGCTCCAGAGGGGACACGAACCCGCCGGAGCATCGCGACAGATCGCAGGAGCTGATGTGCAGCCTGCGGTCGGCTTGCCTCGGGCAGCACAGCAGCCTCTTGAAAGCCTTCCTGAAGTCCGGGCTCCGGCAGTAAATAATGGGGTTGAACGCAGAGTTCACGTACCCCAGCCAGTTCAGGAACACGAACAGATTCTTGTCCACCACCTCTGCGCAAAACACCCGCACCACGTTGACGATGAAGAAGGGCAGCCAGCACAGGGTGAACGTCCCCATGATGATGCCCAGCGTTTTCAGCGCCTTCTGCTCCCTGAGCGCTAAGATCTTGGACGGCCTCTTCTTGCACTTGGAGGTCAGTCCGGTTAAGGTGTTGTGGAACCTGCCCTCGCACTTGTCGATCTTCCTCAGCTGCTTTTTCGCCTCCCTGTACACGCGTGCGTAAACGAATATCATGACCAGGAGAGGAATGTAAAAAGATATGACGGATGAAGAGATGGCATATGCTCTGTTGGTGACAAAGTCGCAACATTCCGGATCCTCGTAGCAGGCTGTGTCCACGCTGTCCCGGGACCAGTGCATGAGGATGGGCAGGAAGGAGACCAGAGCGGAGATGGCCCACACGACGCACACCATCGCTTTGGCCCGGGCTTTGGTTAACAAGCTTTGGTAGCGGAAGGGTGAGGTGATGGCCACGTACCTGTCTATGGCGATTACGCACAGGGTCTCGATACTGGCCGTAACGCAGAGGACATCCACGGAGATCCAGAACTCGCAGAAAAAGGAGCCGTACAGCCACGAGCCGCGCACCTCGAGCGCGGCGCCAAACGGCACCACCAGCAGCCCCATGATGAGGTCCGCGCTCGCCAGCGACACGATGAACACGTTGGTGAGCGTCTGCAGCCTCTGCGTCTTGGCTATGGCCACGATGACCAGGATATTCCCGAACACGATGCACAGGACGATCAAACCCATCACCAGGCTCATCCCGGCCATCCACTGCTCGGACGCGGCGGCTGCAGCAGCAGCGGAGCCCGGCGCGTCGGACGCCTCGCTCCAAGTGCCATTCTGGAAGTTCACCGGCGAGGACGCGCCACCGTCCCCCATGACGGGCTGCTGCGCTGTGTGCAGGTCCAGGGCGAGTTCATCAAGGCAGTGCTGAGCAGCCGTTCCAGTCCACAGCTCTACTCCCGTTGCGCGCCAACTCAATGTGAAGCTGCCGTCGAGCCCTCAGCCTGCTCTGACTGCTGCACCGGCCGGGACGGCGGAGCAGGCGGTGACATCACTGCTCGTCTCCACCAATCAGGCAGCAAGCAGAGGCAAACGGTCCCAGCTGAGGAGGCAAACAGCACCTGAAGCTCAGAAATTACACCTAAAACTCTCATTTTCCTTCCAGGTTTTGATGAACAGGCTAAAAAAAACAACACTTTGATTATAAGAGGGAGGAGGACAGCTTTGGCCAGCAGCTCTTCGGCCTCATCCAGCCTCCTACCTGAAACTGTTTATGACTTTTATCTGTCAGAAAAGCTTCCAGTCTTTGGGAACATGTTGAGCCAAATATGGAAAGCCCAGAATCCACCAGGACATCAAGAACTTCAGGGATTTCCCTGTTTTCATCACTTGCCATCACAAACAAGATTTGTTTTTCCATTTTGTATTTTTATCTCTGAGAATACATTCCATGGGCATGAGGTCAGGCCCAGCCACAGATCTGCACTTTGCTTCACTGCAGCTGTATGACATGAAACTGCTTATCTCAGGTTATAGGTTGAAAAAGCTGTAAAACAGGGTTTGAGTCACAGACAAACTATTCGTCACATGCATTACGGAGGGAGAAGGGTTCCATGTCAGTTGCGATTCATTAGAAGGCTGCAACAGCAAACTGAACAAAGCAGCCACTGAGGAAGAGGAACATCAGGTGTAGGCTGGCTGATAGAAAACACACAGTCTGTAGTCGAAACAAATCGAGCTTACACAAGAAGAGAGGAGCTGAACAAAGCCGGCACTGATGTGGAGGAAACTCTGTTTAAGGACGCCACAGAACTGATCCCATCGATCTGATCTGATGAGGGAATAAAATGTGAATTAGCACAGTTTTTACTCACAGAAGTCAAAACGCTGCACATTCCACACATTTTCAAAGAGTTTTCTAGAAACTGAAAGGCAGCCTTTCAACAACAGAGCCGAGGGCAGACATCTTAAAGATCAGTAAGTGGAAGCATTCGCACCGGCCTTGTGACAAACAGACGGCACAAAAAGATGGATAGCTCCTTGTTTTTGCTTTTTTGTCGCTGGTTCACGAACCCGATGACCCAGCGCCTGAGGCCAGGACACAACATAACACAACATCACAGTGTAGACGTACACCTCAGGATCTCACAAACAGGCCTTTTGCACCGCGACAGCTGAAACAATGTCTTTGCACCAGGTTTATTCTTTTAGGTGGTGGTAGCTCCTTGTTGCAGTGATTCCAAACCAAAAATGCAAATACTTTAAGAGGTATTTCTGCACTTTAGCAGCAGGAAAAATGGAAAAATTAGCTCAATTCACCTCAAGCATTGAATGGAGATGAGCAGAAAAGCTAAAAGTGATTTTAAAATAATGGGTAAGCAGGAGAAAAGGAGGGAACTGATGATTAAAATAGATAAGTCACAGTGAAAAAAATGAATTAAACGGGGGAAACAGCTACCGACAAGTACGGTGTGGACGAACAGTTGAAAGATGAACGCAATTCAGATCTCCAACCAAACCAAACTACTGCTCTTGATAACTCAACAGAATGAAGATTGATTGAATATTAAATAAGATCCAATTAAAAATCAATTTAGATGAACACATTTGAATATTATAACTGGAGGCCTTCCTGAGAGCACCTGACAGGCCTGTGGAGATGCATCAGGTGAGAAATATTAGGAACCACTGCCCTACTTTTACAATAATCTTAACCCATATCCACATTTAGCAGTCGTGGGTTAAGTGTGCTGCCCAGGAGGCACCTCGGAGGTTTTTCCCACCACATGTTCCTGCGATTTAGATCTTAATTTCAGTCACGAGGAGTCGAAATCTGTGTTAGTAGGGTACCAATTTTGAATCAGCCTTTATAAATTAACCCATTTTATAAAGGCTACTTTGCTAGTTACTTACTTGCTTACTTGTGACTCCTTGAGTTTCCGAAAGCAAAACAGGAGGCAGAACCTTCACCCATCAGGCTCCTCTCCTGTGGAACCAGTTTCCAGGTTAGGCTTTGGAGGCAGACACTGTCTGTACTTGTAATTTTAGGCTTAAAACTTATTTTTTTTTTAATAAAACTTATAGTTAGGGTTGCCTCAGGTGACCCTGTAGCATCTTTTAGTTCTGCCGTTATCAGCCCAGACTGCTGGGTGACCTCCCATGATGCAGTGAGAACCTCCCCTCTCCTCTTTCTCCCACCATACATTCATATATCACTGACCACTGCATGTCACTAACTGTGTCTCTCCTTTACTGTGTTTTGTCCCCTCTGTAAGTATCTGTGGCTGTACAGCTGCACGTTTCTGATCTGCAGTTATGGACCTCAACAGTCCTCCCCAATGTTTATTGCTCACTCTACTGTCCTTTTTCTATCATCTA